AAACAAATTTAAAGTAAAAATGTCCTAATCAAACAATCTCTAGTACTGCACAACAACCCTTTACCTTAAAGAACATAAGGAATATAGGATATAGTAAACTGGTGGCAGGCTGCACTGCATTTAGCCCCAAGGATATTCCTAAGAATACAGCATACAATTAGTTGTCAGCCACTTTCTGGTACAAAACCAAAAAATTTCATATAAACATCAGCTCCAAACATATATGGGGTAACCTTCAAGAGAATGTACATACAGTTAGGAAAAACAGATAAAAATGCAGGATCCAAAGGAATCCAAATTAAAAGTTTTTGTGCATGTGATGGGAAGACATTTATTAAAACTGGGAGAATACATCTACTCTGGCTACAGCTGAACTAAATTAATACTTGGCTGCCCCCTCAAATCTGCTGGAATACATGCATGCCTGGTTACTCCTTCAATTAGGTCTGTAAAACCAGCATACAACAGCTGTAGTAATAAACTTGTGCTACTCTGCAATGCCATTATCACCTAGGAAGATTCCTGTTAAGATTGAAAGAGGTGTTGATACACCTCACCAAATTTCCTTGTCATCTCTGCCTTCATCCACACTTCAGAAACAATTTCATAACACAGACTGAAGCAACTGTTCAGACTATTGTCACTCCAAAGAGGTATATGAATGAAAGCAGTTGTTTTGTTTTTTCACCCTCCCCATTTCTACACTGCGAAAGCAGTGGAAAGAAACAGACCAAGCTGATGGCCAGTACCCAAGAAGCTGCAAGGAAAAGAAGGCAGTCACTCTCAGTTTTTAAACTGATGCAACTTTTAATGTGGAAAGCACAATTTATACCCCCATTTAGCTTAAAAAATGAAAGCTCCCATGCCAATCCTTGTATCCCAGCAAGAACAGTGGTCAAAGTTGGAAGCATAATATTCCTCCTGCCCTTGAACAATCTTCAAACTGCAGCTTAAAATAAAGTCTCATGAACAGAAGAAAAATCTATAGTAAATCTGACTCTAATTACTGTCTTTACAAATTACTTACCAGATACTTGGAGTATTTATAAAATTTGCTTGAGGTAGGAGTAACTTTTCTGGAAAAGCACTTTAAGTCCCATATGAGCAATCGCTGCTATGAAATAGCACTTATATTCTTCTCCACTCATCTTCCTTCCCATCAATAATTTATTAATAGGCACTATTTTGAGACCAACACACCATTTTTTTCCAGATGCCATCCCAACACAGGAAGCAAATTGTACCTTGGGGTCATGTAGTGAGCCTAGCTTACAGAAAGATTACCTTGCAGAATTTGGATCATGGTTACTGAAGTAGACCAGGAAATCCTGCTCTTACTTTCACCACTGAAATGCTCTGGTTTAAGAAAGTTTACAAGTTGAAGCAAAACCAAAGTCCTGATAAAAAATGAAAGGTCAATGAGCGCAGGTTATGCGTGTCATAAAGAGCATCTGTAGCTTTCATGCCAGTTGTTTATGTGTCACTAAAAAATGTTTTACCACACAGTAAAATGCCTAACAGGGAGCAGCACAAATTACAAACGTCAAGATGAAATTGTAACTAATACACGGCAAGCGTGGAGAATAACTCTAAATTTCCTCTGAATTTCCTTGTTTTCTTACAATTAAGATTTCAAGACTTCATGTAGTTTGCTACATTAGCCAACATATCTGTGCAATTCTAGAACAGAAACTTCACTCGACCCTGGAAGCAAGGGTACTTCCTAAGAGCACCCTGTATTAAGGACCTAAAGAAAACAAAAGGTTCCTACAAGGAACCCTTTACTGCCACTACCTACTTCTGTATTCTTTCTATAGACATAAAAATAACTTCAGTCTCCAAGCCTGAAAAAACAGCACTTTTGACATGTACCCTTTCTAAACCTATAGTTTATTAAAGTTTCCTGTAGTGTCTTACAATAAGGTATGACCAACACATTCTGAAATTAAAAACTGATGTGTAAGAATTTTGTTGAACAAATTGAAAGCTCTCATATCTGCCAATGAACGATTCATAGAAAAGCCCAACCCAAAACTTAAAAAAAAAGCCCATCCGAACACAAACAAGTGGGATTTTTATTATTTTTTTTAATGACTACATTTTTCTCCCACATTGCAAGGCTTCAGACAAGGTGGTGAGGGGAGAGAAATTAGATGATCTTACCCAGAGGCAAGCATCATGCACAGTAACTTGGAAAAAAAAACAGGAAAAAATATTACACAAGTCAGCTGGCTCAGCAAGGATTAAGAAATACTTTGATAAACAGCAAATGATATGAAAGGCAAAGCTTTTGGCTCCAGCTCAGAGAAATAATTACTCCCAGCTGGGCACACAGAACTCCAAGAAGGGCTACAATTTCACAAGAAGGGCACAGGAAAACTTACACAGCCTTGCAGTCTTTCCTTCATAGTTAAGTTGGTAGGTATATGCCAAGTAACATTTAGGCCAATGGCTAAAAGTAAACAAGACTATGAACAATGTTCTAGTGGGGCACAGGTTACCTGCCCTTCCCAGGCATGCATAAAGCTGATGGAAACAGAGAACAAAATTTAAAAAGTGGTCATGCTACTTTGAAATTACACTGCTGCAGATGGGCATTTACAGAGCATTTAATTTCTTTTTTTCACACATAAATATACTTGGCTAAATAGTCAATCAACAGAGCCTTATAAGGGGTTTCTTCAACAACCCCTGACACTTGAAAGAAATTGCCAAACTTTTAAAAATACAAAGCAAATTTTGGATTTAAAAACTCCTGCAGAGCAAGAAAATGCTTTCACCCATTCTCAAAATACAGTCAAGTCTCTTGTCACAGCAGAAGGCTTGAGTCAAAAAAAGTTTGCTTTCACTGGTAAAACTTTTTTTGCTATTTTTCCTGCTGACTGCTTGTTTTATGTGGGTGGGGTAATGTTTTTATTGTTCTGGACTGCCTTTTAATTGATGGCAGAGTGCCTGGATTTTGGGATTGGCATCTCTTCCATTGTTTTTGCTGAGATAAATAAATGTATCTCCCCCCCTTTTTAAAAATGAATACACTCTATACTCTCGACTGCTAAAAACAAACCCACAAAACAAACAAACAAAAGCTTTCAGATGGCACAAGCAATCTGCTGAAACCCTGCTGCAAGGAATTTACTACTGAAAGACCTCATCCAGCCTTCCTACCCTCTGAAACACTCTCAAAGACCAAGCAGCAGAGATACGACAGTGGAGGCCAGCAGAAGTGTTCAGTGGCTAAATATTTGTGTAATTCTGAGAAAGAGAATGAAGAGCAGATTTTGGCCTCAACCTCAACCCTCAACAACTACCAGGAGGGGAGCTTGCTAAATGAGTAAGATATGTTCTCAAGAGAAAATAAGGCAGATTAGGAACAGCTTGAAAAGGAGTTATTGAAGAGTTTGGTTCAGTATTAAACTGAATGGAGACTCACTGAGGCAAAGGCTGAAGAGTCACTGAAACAGGGGAGAGAGGAATGGGGGTGGTCTGTCTAGGCAGATATACAATTAAAAAACCCAACCAAAAACCCCAATCCCCACCCCAGCTTTTGTGCACAAGCAATGTGAAAGCAGCACCTACATTAATACTCAAACCCAAGACTAACCAGCCAGCATCTAAAGCATCTCCAGAGGTCTTGAATGGAAACATGCTATTACTGATGCTGCCAAAATAAAACTTTTCTTTAGCATAGAAACATTTGCAATCTGTGTTTTCTGACCTAGTAATTAAAAACTTGCCCTGCTACAATGTGGCACAACACAAAGGTCCTAGTTCTTGCTCAGATATTGATTTAATGCTGACTACAATAGTAGTTGGCACTGCCATTCTTCCAATATTTTGCCATTCCAAGGGAGGAGAAACAAACAAATAAACCAAAAAAAGGGAACCACACACATACACATGTCCCCCCACCCAAACAAGCAAGCTGGAATTATTTAAGGAGAAATAAAGTGTCAGCACCAAGCTAAATTGTTCTCATTATCCAAAGAATTTAAAAAATACTTTAATATTACACTTGCATGAAAATTGTATGAGCACTCCATGCCAGGCAGTGTTTCAGCATGTTCCCCAAGTGCACACAAACAAAAAACATATGACAAAATGTTGTCTCCCAACTGATTAAAGTATTTCTTCCTGGCACGGAAAAGCACTTAGTTAAGTGCAGTGTGTCTGTGCCAACTGCAGTATTCCACCCACCACCAAGCACAGAGTTCAGACCTGAACACAAATACGCTACAAGAACGTGCAGCTTTTGAAATATGAGAAAGAGTTGTCTGGGCAACTTGTTTTCAACCCTGAGCTACTTGGTGAGCTGAAAGAACTGATGAAGAGCTGGATGTGTCCAACTACACTGTGTCTCCAACACATTTGGGAAAAGTGGAATGTATTTCTTTCCAAAACATCTCAAGAGCAAGGAAGCCACACCAGTCCAACGCACACAGAGAATCAGGGAAAGAAAAGCCTACATATAAGGTTTAATATGCCTGTGTTTCTTTCTGTTGTGGTATTCATTTTGTATGGCAAATCCTTCAGTTTCAGGCACCATAATCACGCAAAGGAAGCGAGTTTGACATGACCAGACTCTGGGGACACACAAGTACAGTCTAATACACCATGTAAGATGAACAGCCTCCAGGTCTTTAATGATTTCAAGGAGCTAACTATTGTTGGCCAAATTCCAAATGTCACAACCCACCAGAATCTAGCAGTTTATTCCATGGTGTAAAATCCAAGAGAAAATCTAGCGTTTCATAATCTTCTTTTAAACACAGCTAAACCAAGTTAAGTGCATAAAAGGCTCCACTTCTTATCAGAAGAGCTTCCAGTGTTTTGTACTTTGATAGTCAAAAGACAGGGAAAACAGGCTACTTGTTCCCTTCCACAAGTCTCAAAACATCCCAGCCATTTGGGTCAGAGGTTTATGAAGAGCAAGCACATTAACAGAGAGTCATTATATTGAGAAGGTACCTTGTAAGCATTTTTTCCTCACAGATGAAGCCTACCTGTTTACTTTTAGTGGCCTTTCCAGCAGGATTCTTGGCTCCTTTAGCCCCGTCCATGTTTCTTAGAACATCAATGAAATCTCTCTTTGAAACAGAAGACATCAGTTTAGCACGCTTCCTCTCAGAGCCCCCTGCTTTCTTCACCTCCTCTTCCATTTTCTTCTGGTGCGTCCTGACAGCGTTGAATAATTGTACAACACCTCTGGGACAGGGAAAAAGACAACAAAGCAAACCTTTTAACTCAAGTTCCTTCCACAGAAATGAACCCCCTACTAAAGCTGATCAGTGCAGATGCTGGATAGTTTCTAACTCCCCAAAATGGTTACCTGGAAATTCAATTTGGTTAAGAAGTAACATTTACTAGAATATAAAGGACTTTCAATTTTTACTCCTCCTTCACAGCTATTGCTAGGAACCAGTAACAAAACAAACCTACTATTCAGACTCTGAAGTAAGCCTGATAACATGGCACTGAGATCAGTTTCATCCTTGAGCATGTTTCATCCTTGGGAGCATGTTATTTGTCCTAAAATCAGTTATTAAATTACCCAGGCAAGTTTCTTAATGGCAGTTGAAGCTGGAGGTTAGGGCAGAGGAATGAGTAAGGACATACAGGCAGCACATCAAAATGTTCAACTAGTTCTGTGACACCAAACTACCACAATGTGAACAGGCAGCTGAACTTCACAACTGTGGATCTGGTGAATCCTCTGTGGAGAAGCAAAAAACCAGAACAGTAGTAACAACTGTTCTGCATTTTTAAGGCATTAAATTAACAAAATGAGGGGATCCAACAAAGCACTTCTGCTAAGCAAACATTAGATTCCCATCTAAATTTTTACTCTTTCATAAAGCTTCTGAAATCTTTTGTTGAACTTGATACTGTACAATGCAGACCTGTCTATAAATCTCTCGGCTCCTGCAAGTCACTTCTTAAGAGTTCAATCTGATTGGAAACAGATTACCTGCACAGGCCTTTTCCTCCTCTTTTAGATATACATACATTTAAGGAAAGCATTCAGAAAAACTTATACCTTGTGGCAATTCTCTGAAGATTTCTTTCCTTCTCTCGATCTTTGACAACATCTGGCTTCACTCGGCACATCATTTCCCATTCCCGCTTTTTATCGAGCTGCATTATAAATATTGTTATGTGAAACAACATGGACATTTGAGAATGCAGCATGACCTGACAGAGGATGTAGCAGGAGGAAAAAAAGTATCTGCAAAGTTCAGTCTGGTTGAAAGTAAAAGGAACTCCAATATAGGGCTGGACAAGTCTCTTGCATTGACACAACAGGGGCCACACTCAGATCTCAGTCATCTACTTCCAGCAACAAACGCCTAGGAAAAAGATGCTTTCACACTAACTGCCTTGAGCAAGGAAATTATTCAAAAACAGTCTCCAAATCCCAGACTTCACAAGCTGATCACAGAGAAATTTATACATAGTAAAATCCTGGGTCCATCAAGACTGGCATGTCACATTTTGAACATGGAGAATATGACTTCCCCGTACAGAACTGGTCCCAGTATGGCTCTGTGACCAAAGCAACACTCAGCAAGGAGTGCAACAGGCAGAACTCTAACACACGAAGAGCACCAAGTGGCCACCAGACAACAAGTCATGTGTACAGTACTGACTTTTGTCTATTTTTTGGAGGCTCTCCATTTCAAAACCAAATTGATCCCCTTTTCCTACCAGCGGGCACGAAACCATCAGCTTTGTTTCTGCTGCAATAGGAGACCATTGTATTTCATGGCCTCTGCTTTAGCAGTAAGTTTTTCTTCCCCTCTAAACAGTTTAACAGTGTTTTAAGCTTGGTGATGTTCCATTAAATCTGTTTTATGCAAGAAGTCTCTAATGGAATTTCAGAGTCCTTATCTTTACAATTACAGGCAGACTACTATGAATTTCTGAGTTTATGACCATGTTTTGGCCTTTGATCAAAAGAACTGCCCTATCCTACCTTTCATCAGCAAGAAATCAATGAAAGTCAAATTGCTTTCAAGTTTTTCTAAAGCAAACAAGTCACTTTGGGGACCTGTGGCCCATCTCTGTTCTGCGGTATTCTCACATATTTACTGGATGAGAGCAGGTATTTAGGACAACCATAACTGTGCAGATGCTGTAGTGAAGCTCTCTGAATTTAAAAGGCAAGCCATGGCCCAACTGCAGCATGTCCCAAACTGTCAGGTGAATAACCTGGTTATCCCACAGAAACAGAACTGGTAGGATGAGACATTAGAACTATTAATGTATTTCTAGCCTGAAGGGAAATCAATCAGAGCCTGGAATTAAAAGTTCCACTAAAAGCGCAAACAAATTACTTACTTGCCAACATGGTTTCCTCATACCAGTTTCAGAACCAGAAGCAATTTAGGGCACAGACATGGGAATAGAAAGCTCCAATCAGGAGTTTTCTATTGAGAAAACTATTTTCTGTTAATGACTGAGGGGAGCAAACAACAATGCACAACCACATCAATGATTACTGCAGTCTCAACCTAGAGGCCTTGATGTTGGAAGTCACAGCACAATTTAAATGGAAGCAGTTTTCTTCTCTTTCTCCCTCTCACTTTCTATAGTAGACAACTATTTCAATTTGTAACGCCAACAAAGTGAATTTCACCCCACATTAACAATGCCAATTAGAGAATCAAGCCTAAAGTAGCTGCTTTCAGCCCCTCAAAAGAGAAAACACCTTAAGTTCACAGACTGGAACACTCCTGCTGCCAATGTTCAGCCTGACTGCTGACCCAGAAGAAGCAGTAAGAGAAAAAACCTTACACAGTATGACTGGAAAGTAAAAAAAATTAATCTGCTGAAGACCACTGTGAAGGAGAGACTCCAAAACTGAGAGATTTGGGACAGTGCTCTGAGACTATCTTGCATGTAGCCCATCTGCACATGGAATACAGCATCTTTTTCTCACCCTCATCTTCTTTTCTTGCCTCTCTTGTTTTTTTTTCTCTCTTTCCTTCTCCAGGCTTTTATTCTTGGCCAAGATGGTGGACTTATTCTGTGGAATCTTTTTGTTGAGCACTTTTGCCATGGCATCTGCCCATCCTGAACTTGGGCCATCTTTGGAGCTTGTTGCCTCTTCAGCCACATTGCCAGGGGCTGCTGCTTCATCTTCATCATCACCATCCACGGCTTCACCTCCCGAAGAGTAGCTGTCGTCTGGAAGTTCTGAGCTTAACTCAGAACCTAGGGATTAAAAAAAAAAAGAAAATAAGCAAAAAAAGTATCAGGAATTGTTTCTAGAATCCTTCACTAGTGCCATCTGCTCCACATGTAAATGTTATCCAAGTTTAGAGCGAGGTATTACTGTAAGTGTGCTGTTACAATTAATTCCTCAAGCAGGCACACACCATTATACTGAATTTATTAGAAACTATGCAGTGCAATGCTTGCTCACCTCAGTGATGATTTAAAGTGATTGAAACAGGCTGGGCAAAAGGGAAAGGGCAGCCTTGGACATTTATTATTAGATTACTGAAAATTTTTATATTTAGGGCTGGTAATTGTGGTGGGAAAACTTGTCTATTTTCCAGTTTTAAAAGTGTAACTTAAAAATTCCTATCCACACAAATATGTGCACATATGCATGTACACACTCCCAGAGAAACTGCAACAGTGACATCTGGTGTTGGACTGCAACAGCCACAGGAATTAAACTGAAGCTGGGGGGCATTTCTTATGTCACAGCAAAACCTGCTCAGAGACAACACTGCCAGCAAAAATACAATTACCCAAGCATAATGAACCCAGGGGAGACTGCTCTGTGGAATACAGCATCAAGACAGGCAGCTCAACAGAAACCAGAGGCACTGAGCTTTTCTGGGTAAGCCACTGCTCAAGTTACACAAATAAAACACCCCCAAAGTCAAACTTCCTTACCCCTATGAGCCCTTCAAAATAAAAGAAAGAACTGAAGTTACAATACCAAAGTCTGGAATTAAGACAGCTGAAAACAGCCAAATTGATAGCACAAGAAATACATGAAGAGCTAGTCCTCATTACTGTGTTCAGGGGGTCAAACTGCAAAAATAGAAGTCTTTAACAGTGCAGGTGATTAACTAGAATGACATGGGCTGCAGGTTTAGGGTGTGCTGAAATATGCTGGGTTATTTCACTCCACCATGTAATCAAGAGCGGAGCAGAGCATACACAAAGTCCTGCCACCATTAACTACTAGTCCAGTAATATTTGTGCCACATTAAATTTTAAATTAATTATCTTACATACAACTTTCAAGACTGCAAAACCAAATGCTGAACAGAAGGAAGCTGGTTTCTGATCCCACCCAGTCCCAGATTCCTCACGTGACTCACTTTCATCCATTTACCACTCCCAAACTCCTTACAAAAGAAAATTTAAATTTTAAACCACAGTACTACTGAGCCAAGTGCTTCACTTCATAAGCACTCCTATATCCCATGAAGTACCTTTATTAACCAAACCATCAAGGGAATGAAGCCAGGAGTGCTTCACAAGATCTGTTCTCCATGAAACCATGCAGGCAGCTATTAACAATATTCCCCATTAATCAACTATTTAATTACTAAGCAACCATAAACATACACTCTGCTGCCACACTAATTCATTATTCTGCCTTCTCCATGTGCCTGTTTCAACCAGAAAAAACCTAACAAGCAACATAGCAGCAAAACAGTGGCATTGACCAATGTAAAACAAAACCTCTACTGCCCAGGCACGTTTAGAGGCTTCGGGAGCATTTGGTTATCCTGATGGAAAGTAAGAGTCTGTGGTTACAAAACAAATGTGGAAGAGAAATGATGACTGAATGCTTGGCCATTATCTCTATCAGTATGACTTTTACCACCACCACGTGGTATGTCATGCTCCACTCAAAATAAACTATGGGAGTGTTTTCCAACAGTCCTTACTACAAATTGGAAATTTAGAAGTGGCAAATTTTCTCAACACATTCAGTAACTATTTAAAGGCATCCTTTTATATCCTTCTAGATATTGGCATCCATATTCTGAGTTTCCAGTAAAAAATAAATTCAAACCATTGCCTGCAAAGAAGGAACTGCAGCACCACATGACGTTTGACATGTAGGAGCCACGTCCTGGTTCCTACACGTAAAACAACGTCAAGTTTTCACCCCTGGGCCTTGTCCATGCTGCTCTTTAGCTTTTAAACAAGGAATCAGCCCCTGTTTGTGACAACAACTACAGAAAGTCCAAACCTGAATCCCCCACACTGCTTAGGACCAACTTCTGCAGTTAGCCATAAAAAACAAATCAGACTTATTAAAAGGAAATTTCCAAAAACATGTAACATTTCCTTCACACAACATCTTCTGCCAATAAAGTAGGAGAATAATACCAACAACATTTTGCTTTCAACAATTACAGAAAAATTAACAAGGTTTCCACTACCTGCCATAATTTATTCTTTAATGCATCAGAGTATCAGTCAACAGCATGAGACAAAGAAGAGGTATTTCAAAATAATTTAAATCAGATTAACTCAATCAGAAGTAGGACCTGGGGCCCTATTCTGAATAAGAAAGACTGATATCTAGCACAGATTTAATATAAAAAGTTTTAATTGTTTCTGTGTGTGTTGTTGTGAAATACACATCCCTCTATCTCACTCTTTCAGACTCGCTCGGTGATCCAGGTGCAGACACACAGTTAAAACACAGCGAACATTCGGCAAGGAGGTCTGAAAGAATCTCCCACACATCGCCTCCCTCTGGGTTCAACTCTGGCGCTCAAACCAAACAGAACCAGTGCGGGAGCCACAGCTCCAAAGGGCCACAACCCTGACTCCTCCCAGAATAAAGAAAAATAGAAGTGCAGTCACAGGATAGAATGAAGAAGTGATCACAGCTGGTTAGGTACACAACACGCAAGGAGGCGAGAGCGATGCAGAACCGTGCGCTCAGGGTTAATCCCGGGAACGAGAGCGTCCCCGGGCTTTCATTCGGGGAGAGGCAGATCCCGGCTGGCACACACGGAACTCGGGCAGCTCTGCACAGCCGTTCCCCTCTCTCCCAGAACGCGGGCAGCCAAAGCTGTTCTGTTGGGCCGAGGGAATTCAGGAGCTGTGGGCGGTACCCCCGGGCTGAGGGGGAACAGCCCAAGGGCCAGCGCAGGAGCAGCCAGCAGGCCCGGCGGGAATGGCAGCCACGGGCCACGCCGCTAGAAGCGGCCTCAGCAGGGGCCGGGCCGGGGTCTGAGCTCCCGTTCCCCCCACGCCGACCGGCGCCGGCCTCGGCCCAGGGCCCGGAGCCACGGACCCACCGGCGGGCTCGCACGGGGCAGAGAGGAGAGGCCTCCAAGGTCAGAAACGGCCCACAGCGGCGGCCGGCGATGGCTCAGAAGAAGAGAAGGCCCCGTTCCCGTTCCCGCTGCCGTTACCGCTGTCCGTGTCCGTGTCCCTGCCCGCGGCCCCGCGCCCACGTGGGCCCGCCACGGCCGCCGCCATCTTCCCCACGGCCCGCCCGGCGCCGCGCTCCGCCCCGGCCCCCGCGCCGCCAGGCTGCGTTCCGGCTTCCGAGGTTCCGGGCAGGCAGGCGGCGCTTCCGGGGCGGGGCCGGGGCGCGGCGGGCCGGGGGCCCCGGCGGGCAAAGTGGGCCCGAGGATGGAGCGAATGGGGCTGGCCGGGCTCCTCCTGCTCCTCAGGCCCTGCCCGCTGCTCCGGCCAGCCCTGCGCTGAGCTCCGGCTGTTCCAGGCCCCGATCGGGCCTTCCCGGGACTCCCTACGCTGGGAAAGCTGCGCTCGCCTGGAGCATGGAGAATACCCTGGGAACCGCTCCAGTACGGCAGAGCTCGGGCTCATTGTTCGCTTCCTCCCTGGGGGGCTGCTGTGGAGGGACATGGCAACGATAAAAATAAATTAATACTTTATATATGTATATGTGTGTGTGTGTGTGTGTGTGTGTATACACATACAGGAGTCCTGGTGCGAAGAGGAATTTGAAGGCTCCACCACAGTGCTGGTGTACCCAGGAAAACTTAGAGAAACCAGAGAATACTTAGTAACGCTTTCAAACATTGCTGTAAGGCCCCAAAGGAGGGGCTGGAAACGCTGGCAAACTCCGGTTGATGTACTGAAATCGCTCTCTCTTAGTGAGGGTATTTGTTGTTAGCACTGGCTGGTTGGAAGAGCAGACTATCCACCGCATGCAGGAAAACAAAATTTCTTCTATGTTAGGTGAGAGAAGTCTTAGTAACCCTAATTTTCTGTCACTTCACAAGCACTAAACGGCCTCTCAGATTTTAGGGCCAGATTGTAACTCTGCCAGCCATCCAATCACTCAATTTGGTGCCTCTGTAAGAAGCACATCCTGAAAGCAGCAGCACCTGGAACGTCAGAACTGTAAAAGAAGAAAATCTTAGGCAACTTCTTGCATAAAAGCGCTCTAACCTAAAGAAATGAAAATGAGTTATCAGGACCTGCTGTTCTTGCAGCAATAAAATGTGCTGGGGGATAGAAACTCCAGCATTCCTTGGAACCCCAAAGTAGCACCATAGAAATAACCACAAGAACATTTATGAATATAGGTAGTACAGGGGGAAACTGTTACAAGTAGGGTAATCTTGAGTATTTTTCAGGTTTTAAAAATGTTGTTTAATTTCTACACCCTAAATTTTTGTATTTCTTTTGTTGTTGCAGCCCTGCACAATAAGTGACCTATGTCTTTGCACATCTGTCATTCCACCTTTTTCCTCAATAATGTGGATTGCAGCTAAGATAGCAAATTTCTTTTCCTGCCTCAATATCAGGTGGGAGAATTAGAAGTTGGAGAGAGGTCAGAAAATGGTGACAGATATTCTGACATGACTGGGGAAACTGTTTCACAAGGAAAGATTAAAAGACTAAGTATTATTTGGTTAAGTGCTAAGGACTAACAGGGTTGGACTTGTTGTTTCTGTCATGATCTGTGCTGCTGAGTGGAGCTATCTGGAGCTATGCTGTAGTGGAGCTACAAATTTCAGTCCAACTCACTGTTACAAGCAAAGAGAAAACTTGTGCTGAAAATCTTGTGATGTGCAGAGGAACAAGGAAACTTCAAACACCCCCATGATGTTTAATGAAGAGGCCCAAGCTTTACAGGAGATGTAATTCCTAATGTTTTACTCCGAGGCGCTCAAATGCTACGGTGCCCACCAGCAATAAGCAGTAAGCACTCGGTCCAGTCTGCGGTGTGATGATAAAGCCCCATTCCATGATTCATCTCTGAATCCCGTCGTGTCGGAGGGGACACTGCCAGGGGAAGGTCATTAAACTGCATAGACAACAAGCTCTCTCAGCATGGCAATTATAGCCCTCATTTCCTACAATACACACCTTATTGAACATGTCTCACTCCTGGTTGCCTATTTGTCTTGGAAGTATGTCAAAATCTTCAGATTAAGTCCTGTAATAGGTTCCAATAAATGACGGCTCTGAATCTTCTTCCCTCAGACTGAATTAACAAGTCACATCTCCGGGAGCGCAATTCTCTCTGCAAGCATTATCCCAGAGCATTTGTCAGAAAATCTGTTGCCAAACCTCATTTCAAATGACTGTCATTGTCTCCCATCACTCTGGTCTGAATGTTTTCTGTGTTGAAATTGTGGTCTGAGGAATGCTGGAGATGTAACCAGACTACAGAATCTTTCCAAACCAGACAAAGTAGCAGTTACATCCCAGTTTATCATGAGGAACTGTGGCTGAAGAGCAGCAAAGGCTGGCAATTCTTGTGTGTATGGGTCTGTAGTTAAACCTTGGCTAATGAAACAGAGCACAAAACTTATTTATGTGTGCACCACGGCCAACATCAGGAAAAAATCCAACCCAAAAGTGTAAAAGGATGGTGCAAGAATTTGCAGTCCTAACTTTTTTTTCCCTAAGATTTTAAATATGATAACTTTTTTTTTTTTTGGCTGAAAGTTTAAATATCAACAATAAAGCTCAGTTGAAGCAGTTACTGTGTATTGCTCATTAGAATAGCAGAAATAGCAGCAGCAAATTCTTAGGATCATAGAATGGTTTGGTTTGGAAGGGACCTTAAGGTCATCCAGTTCCAGATCCCTGCCATGGGCCAGGACGCCTTCCACTACACCAGGCTGCTGAGAGCTCCATCCAACACTTCCAGGGATGGGGCATCCACAGGTTCTATGGGTAACCTGTGCCACTGCCTCAGTATCATCACAGTAGAGAATTTCTACTTAATATCTCGTCTAAACCTGCCCTGTGTCAGTTTGAAGCCACTCTCCCTTGTCCTGTCACCACACAGCCTTATGAAATTATGAAATGTCCCTCTCCAGCTTTCTTCTAGGCCTTTTTAGGTACTGAGAGGTCTCCCCAGAGCCTTCTCTTTTCCATACTGAATAACCCCAGCTGTCTTGTTCTGTCTTTTTAACAGAGAACAAATAAAGACAGAATTTCCCTTTGGTTTCTCTTTGGAATTGTACAATTCCTGTGTCCTGGTGTGTTCTAGAGTTACAATGAATTTGTGGATCCCAGCAACAAAGTGACCAACATCTGCTTAAGTCTGTTGTCAATTTGTCTCTAGGAAAGAGGTTTGTGTGATGTTCTTCAACACAAAGGCACAGGGAAATGTGCAGTGAGTGTGTATAAAGGAGAACAAGGACAGAGTAACATACCTGGTGCTTAGCAAGGCAGTAAGAGTTTTGCACTGCCCTTAGTTCTTGTGGGAAAGCCTCCACAGGCTTGTCTTGTTCTGTGCAAAGGAACTCTTGCCTAGGCAGGCAGGATTACCCTTCCTAAAAAAGTTCAGTCAGGCTGCAGTTCTCAGCTGTGATCTTCATCCCAGAGTGGAGCCTCTCGGTACCCTGGGTGCAGGGCACCAAAAGCCTTTAAGGTAGGGCTCCAGTTTTGGCTTAATTGGATGGGTCTGGAAATAAATGTAGCTACTTGCTGCCTCCAGTCTTTGGATCAAGTTTTTCATGCTTAAATTTCAATAGAATAGAAATAAAAAAATTATGTGATAATTACAAATGTAGCCCCTTTTTCTGTGCTAGAAATTCTTACTGGAATCTGTGAAAATGGAGAATTGTAGCAACTCTCATGTATTCATGTGCCATTATCCTCAGCTTCCCAAGGTCTGAGCACATATTATCCCAGCTGAACACTAAGTATTTCAGAACTTTCCAGCTGTTTTTTTCTTTTCCAGCTTTCTTCTTTGGCTGCTACCACTCTCTTCCTCTTCCCTTTCTGAACAAATTGCCTTGACTCACACATCCCCCAAATAATTGCCCTTTCTGTTCCAATGAAGACTGAATTCCATGCTAGTATAATAAAGTTAAAAATCTTTGCCACACTTGTAGGTCATATTCATAGCCTTATTCCTGTACTAAGAGAGATCAATAACACCAGAGAGGAGATGAGCATGATAAAACTCTCCAGTGCCTCAAGATTTAAATATGTTTATTCTCATTTCCATTTCTTTGGTTTAGTTGATACCATGTTTTCCCCTCAGCTCTGCAGGGTATTTGCAGACGAAGAAAAAAAGAGAGTTCATGAGTAAATCACAGAACACTGTGCTGTCATATAATAACTACTGCTCTAATCTCATATTCAATAAAACTCATATAAACTGACATTTAATAAATCATAATAAAGTACTACCTGGTCTTCTGCAAATGTTTTACCTCCAGAAAGTTCTCGTCTAGCTCCCAGCAAGGTCGGGTGGAAACTTTCGGCTTCTTTCCATGTGAATTCATTTGATCCCTGATCCTCACAAACACCAGTGCAGTTTTTAGGAGGGAGACACAGAGTGGTAAATATGACTTTTGCAAAACTTTATGCCTGTATTTTTAAACATAAACATGTTCATGGACTTAGCAGAGTGCTTGTGCAACTGTTAGCTACCTCAGCAATGAAAAACAGAAAAGACAAGGCCTTTTGTGTACATTAAAAAACCCCAAGCTCAGAATCACGGACTAAGAAATGATTCTAAAAATAAATTGTGAAATCTTGCCCACTGAATGCAACAGGTTTGCAGCCTGTGTATGCATGAACTGATGCTGGGTAATTTTAAATCTATGTTTTCTGAACTTAAAGTGCTTGAATTTGAAATTATCCCTATTATTTGACACAATTTATTCTGCTTGTGATTGTTGATTTTATTATTTTATTATATATCAGCTTTCAACCAATACTGCAGTGTCATTTGATAAACAGCTTCCTGGTTTGAGAGATATGTAACTTAATGTGTCATGTTGAGGAACAATTATTATTTTCTGTCTCATCAATATAAGAAAATGAAAAAGAGATTAAAGGACTTAATTTACCTAATATGTACCTAAATCTTAAACTTTTCTGTGTTTGTTCTTCTCTAACTCCATTCATTCATTTATTCACCCTCAATAATTATTCTTTTTCCTATATTTCCCAGGAAGGGATTATGGTAGCGATGTATTACCTGAAATAATCAAGTCCAAAACATGAACTGACTGTAATTTTAGGAAATTTAT